CTTCATCAAATTGCTCAAATTCTTAATTTTTCAAATGGCGTTTTGTTTACTTACGAAGCTAATTCTGGACGACGGTGTATATGAAATTTCCATATCACTTCTGGGCTGAGAAAAATTCACGTGGGATCTTTGAATCTCATTTTCATCATCAGTTTTCAGTTAATGTATGGCTTGGGGTGATTGATGATTATTTAGCGACTCTTACCTTCATTTTCTACAGAAAGAGTTACCTGCTCTTCTTGAAGAAATCCCTCTACATCTGAGACAGCACTTATGGTTTATGCATGATGGTGCACCAGTTCATTTCAGTATCAATGTACGTATTCACTCAGATACAGAATATCCAAATCGTTGGATAGGTAGAGGAGGTATGGAACATTGGCCTGCTCGATCGCCGGATTGATATCCTCTACATTGCATTCGGATTTTCTCAAGTCGATGGTTTATTCCTCTTCCATCGAAAATGTAGAAGACCTGAGGAAACGAATTATAGCCGGCCGAGAGGCAATAAAATTACACCACGAAGATTTACGCGAATACAACAATCAATGAGGTGAAGAGTTGAATCTTGTATAACGCCTGAGAGAGGTCATTTTGAACATTTGTTGTAGCTATGCACCTATTTATTTATAAGTGTTATTTTCTGTTGTTGATCTGGTTTAATGTAATTGAATTAGAAAGTTCTTGATAGTGTATTGAAGAAATGAAAAATATGCTTTGAGATGTTTTTTTTGCATAAAAACGGCCCTCCATATAAAAAAACGAAGAGATTTTTTGTCACAAATTGAACGAAGAATTCAAAAATTATTGTTAGTTTAAAATATCTCACGTACGTATCTGACGTACCATTTTTTCTTGAAAAAAAATTGAGATCATTACCCGTACTCGTGCCACTGATGCACAACATTCTCAAATGCATGTAAGAAAATGTGCAATAACTACCTCTTGAAGCCCAGCAAATTTCATTTGCATATCTGGTCCGATTTCAAAGCAATGAATGAATAGTCAGTTTTTAAGAAAACTTCAACATTTGGTATCTATAAATACGAAGAATTCGCGGACAAAAGGTAGAGAGCAGACTGTCATAATTTTTTCATACAGAATCACCTCCTGAAGTTTGTCGCACTTATTCACTAACACCCTGTATAAGTGAGTACATCTTATTTCTGGTCCAGATTCATTTCAATCATATGAAATGAGGGAAATTTTGAAACAAAAATCCTATGGCAAAAATGAGCTAACGCTTGACAGTTGGATTTCGAAGATATCATTCATTCATCAAATATTTGGGTCACATTGAATTTTTCTATAATAAGTCTTAGCAAAAAAATAATAGAACTATAGTTTTTCTCGTGTGATGATATAAAATTTGTATATTGAAAAAAAAACATTTTTAGAAAATGTCCAATACCCTGTATCTCAAAAACTATACAGTCCCATGTTCATGTGTACTTTTTCATTTTGGTGATAAGTAACATCGACTATTGAACAATACTTTTTCGAAAAACTTTTTCTCAAAATATACACGAATTCAATTCAATGCTCGAGATGAAATTGAATATACCAAACATAACATTCAGGTGAATGTCAAAATGTTTTCTTCGTTACAGTAGATTTATTCGCCGAAACTCGGTGGATTTGGACATTAATAAAGTTATACCTTAGATATTAATCTGTATTATCAGTATCTATGTTCTCTCCATCATATACTATTGAAAAACCAACCACTCTGAAATCTTCAATGACACTATTTCACTTCAGATACACCGAATATATAAGGTACACATTGAATAAGTTGAATAAATCACACCACGATATCTCACTTGGTTCTAATAATTTTTTAGTCGCGTATACCCTACCATATGTAGGTTTTGAGAAAACTTTTAGGATGCCAAAATACATGTTTATTAGAGTTTATAGCTGGGAATCTCAAATACCGAGGTGAACCTACTATGATGAGATCTGAAGTTTGTACAAGCAAGATTATAAAACGATGATAATATGAATGAATGAGTATGTATATAACAACTGAGACTATTGAACTATGATCAAAGAAGGGCATTCTCAAACCAAAGGTGAATAATGATAGGAATATGGTACAGTAGTGACTTCAAATGTGATTTATATTCAAATTGAAAGGAGGATATTTCCTGAAAAAAAGCTTATGGCTTCAATTTCCGTATCTGTAGAAAGCAAACAAACTTTTTTCCCAAAAAATAAATATAATAAAAAAAAAGGAAAACACGTTTATGAGTTTTGACTTCCCCAGTATCAGAAACAACAACTACTTCCACATGAACACTGAATTACACGAAAGAAAAAAATACTTTCGAAACAACTACTTTCGTGGATATTGACTTATACGAAAATCACTTTTCCGATTTCTATAGGGATTTCAACAGAAAAAAAAACAGAAATCAAGTAGAGGCAGGAAAGCTGGTTCCTCCTCTATAATAACATACTCTCCATATAAAAATAGAGTTATATTTGAAAATGATCAAGAACTCCAGAACTATTTCGAAAAAGTTGGCACCGTATGAAGTAAGCGCCTATAATTTTTTTTCTTATTGAAATACACAATTTGTTGAAACTAGTCAATATTTATATCAGGAAGTCCAGAACTCTATCAAATCTACCCAGAATTCCAAAAAATGTGTTTTTGCACAAAGTGGGCGCCAGCTTTACATGAGTCATTTATATTGGTAACATGAGTTCCAAGATTTTCATTTTTCCAAGACCGTCCTGGAAATATACATTGAGGTACCGGTAGTCTACATTGAACATAAAACTCTTCAAAGACCGTCCTGGAACTATACAAAAGTCTTGGAACTAGCCATTAGTTAGCAGGAAAAGTCTTGGAAATGAACTTTAGTCATATATATATATGACTAAAGTTCATTGGATTGTCACAAAAAACACAAAAAAATACAAAAAAATCGTATACATGTTAACTTTTACGTCAATTTATATCTTCAATTTATTGTTTTTCACTCATTTTTACTGCCCTGAAATATATATATATATATATATATGATATACTGTTGTCCGGGTTGAACCGCGTCTGTAATTTTCATCGTTTCAACTCCTGCTTTGGAGCCATTCTCAAGAATCACTTAGATCTGTACTTACATAACTCGAGGACGAGGTCGTAATCTCCCTTGTCCCCAAGTCTCGTTACTAGTTCTATGTTTGCTGTGTTCCACTCAAAGTTCATACTTAGTACGAACATTGTAATTATGAAAAATTACTTGGTTTTGACCAATACTTCTTTGACCTTTGCAGTTATATTCATAATGATAATGAAGGTATCAAAGATTATAAGTTTATAACACACATACTTAAAAAAATCAGTCGATGAAATAAAATTCATGAGATAATTGTTCATTTTTCGATTATAATGCAGGTTTATATGATTGAAAATTTTTTGCCAAAAAAATTATCCTATCAAATTTGTCTATTTCTAGTCATGTGTGTCGAAATAACCAATGAAACCATCATTACACTGATAACTACCCATGGATAGTTTTCACGGGTAATTATCACTTATGTCATGACATTGCTAAGCAACCAACACAATAAAATTGTTTGACATTTCAGTAATTCAATTTATTTTGAAAATGTCACTTCCTCGCTTTGGTGTTCAAAATGATGCGGCAATTGACAAAATCATTGAAGAAAATACACCAAAAAATACTGTCAATAGTAAAAAATACACTTGGAAAATATTTATGGAGTTTTGTGACGCCAGAAAATATGAATTGGATGGAAATCGTACTCTCGAAGAGCTTGCATTAATACTCAAGGATTGGGCGATTAATATGAGAAAAAAGGATAGCACAGAGTTTAAGGAGGCTACTGTTAAAACCGTATGGAATATAACAAGCAAATTATTACAAGAAAAGTATTACAAGGAGTATAATATCATGCTAGACCCCTTTAAAAGTGTTGCATTCAAACAAGCGCGGAATGCACGCGACGCAGCACGAAGAAATTTACAAACAGATCCCACTAAACGCAAAACAAGCTCAGTACCATTAACTTCAAATGAAATGAGTAAAATTATAAACTTTTGGGATGAAAATACCCCTATAGGACTCCTACGCAAATTTTATCACATAGCAGCGGTGGAATTGGCTTGGAGAGGTGGTGAAGGTGCTGCTTGCTTAGTTGATTATTTTCATATCGAAAAGGACAACAATGGATCTCCAACTAATAGGATAGAATATAATCCAATTTTCAGTAAAACCTGCCAAGGGGGTTCAAAGAACTGCGCCTCTAGCAAATGGTTAGTTCAAAATAGTGATAACAATGCTTGTCCTGTCAGATTATTCATTAAATTATTATCAAAACGAGGCACAAATATCAAGACAAATAGACTATTTTTAAGGCCAAATCGTCACTGGAAGACAGGAAGCGATAACTGGTATGACAATATGCCTCTGGGTAGAAATATAATCAACGGATGGACGAAATCTTCTGCTGAAGCAATTGGCTTGGATACGAAACAGAGGAAAATAACCAATCACTCTAATAGAGCAACTGCAGTCAGTCAACTAGCTAAGAGTGGAGTTCAAGAACAGCAATTGTTGAAAATTACTGGGCACAATAATGGAAATTCCATAAAACCTTATTTGAATATTGATCAGGAACATCATAACCAAATAATCAATAGTATGCGTGGAAACACCTATGCAGTAACCGAGGCAAATACAGCAAGATCAACGGAATATCATTATACGAATTGTTCTTTTAATAACTGTGTGTTCAATAAATAATTTTGTTCGAATTGCAAAAAATTTTCTCACCGAATATCCCTCGAACATTGATAAATAACTCATAATTTTATCACAACTTCCTCAAGCACGTTATTTTAGGTAACATCCCTCCGCCTTCGGCGTCGGGATGTTACCAAATAACGTGCTTTCGAAAACTGTGATAAAATTATTTCGTTAGTTATCAATGTCCTTGGGATATTATAGCTGAAAATCAACTGAAAATCATTAAGATGTAAATATTATACCTGACAATTATCCAAAGGGAATTCCATATTGTAGCATCCCATTTCTTGATTAATCAAGCCCATCAAGTCATTGGCTTTTTTCCACCAGGATTTAGAATCTGTTGGAACAATCTGTATAATTCGTCCATTATTTTGAAAATCAGCAACGATTCTCTCATTCTTCCATCCCTGAAATTTGATTAAATGTTTCAAAGTGTTTAGGTGAAAAGATGACATTTATCACAGAAATAGTAAGACCTGATGTTCATTAGGGCGAAATATTAAACTTCCTAATTACAAAATTCCTGGAAATTATATTGGTTTTTTTAATATCTAAAAACTGTGATGATAAATTAGAATTGTTTGCATGAGTAACTGAGATCATAATCCAACAATCAACATTTGATAAACAAAAATAGTTCCCTTTGAAGAGAGAGAATCAATTCAAATAAAATGCATTCAAATTGTCCACAAGATACAATTACACAAATGTTCTACAGGAAGTGAACCTCAATTCATCAAGATCTAGACATATTCATTCAAACCTCATCTTTACAAACTTATCAGTGGTCAAATCTCTCATGATTGTTAAAGCTACATTTTCATTCCACATAATATGTCAAGCATTCAAAAGAACTCACGTAAGTGAATATCAATCATAAAAAAAATCAAAATCATTCATTCGCACCCGCTACATAGCAGCCATCCTTAGGATAGATTCATATGTCACATACAGTTACATTGAACAAAAGATAGTAAAATATGACAAACACTAATAGTACAATAGAGCTGATAAACATGTGTAACTCACAGATAACAAGTAAATCAAAAATCATCATTCAGGAATTCACTAAAGGAGTAATAGGCTTTTGCACACAGGAATGTCTTTAGTGCCTTTTTAAATTCCATTTTTTTTAGATGTGGAAGATTATTAAACATCCTTATACCTGCGTAGTCTAGAGAGCTTTCAAATGCTGTGCTTTGCAACTGAAAATGCATCAGCGCTCCTTATAGAATATGAATGGTAATCCGAGTTTTTCATAAATTCATTTATATGTGGCTTTACATATATTGATAACTAGCAATCCGCCCCGGCTCCGCACGGATGCAATGCTGATACTAAATACAAATTTGATCACCGGAAATTCAAGAGCGTGGAGAAAGAATATTAATAAGATACTTTTTTATGGACGCGACTTTTTCCCCCATGCATACTTTTAACGATCGAAGCATGATTGGAATGTTCATATTTTCCTAGTTCTTTATTAACACTTTGCCAGAGGGTTTTATGTTTGTTTTCACTGTTCTTTATAATATCATAGTTATATTCATAGTCCTTTTTTGAACATATTTTTCATATTTTTACTTTCCTCTTCAATGCTTTTTGTATCACAACCTTTTTGTTGCACCCTATATTGCTGTCTCACTCTTTGCATACAATTTAATTCGACTGCAAAAATCAAATTGATAAGAAAATGTTCCACCGCGGTATTAATATCATGCCTGGATTCATAGACTTCATCAAAGCTCTCATTAAAAATGTGTTGTTTCGTTATGCTTAAATTGTAATCTGATGGAACTTTTTTGAATTCTCAGCTTCTACTTACCATGTCAGAAAAGTTAGCCCTAATTTTTTTCCCATACAGCTACCAAATGATCACCCATATTTGGTGGCATTATATATTCCCTGGTGCAGTTGGTACATATGTAATCAATTTTAAATTTTTTTTGCAAGCGATTCTAGTTGGCTCACTTGGAAGAATTTCTGTTAAGCCAGGTAAACAGGTGACTAATTCATCAGCTGCTTTTCTTCAGAGTTCTTTGAGTAATCGACATTTAGGTCGTCACAGAAAAAAGTTGTATCAAAAACATTTGAATATTTCGTGAGAAGCTGATAATTATTTTCCAGGAATTGGAAAACCGATAGACATGTTTTGTTCATTATTATTTTCATTACACAGCACTCATAATGTTCTTCTCGAACATACTACAGTCAATTTCGGAACAATCAAATGATTTTTTGAATATTACTGGAGTTTTTTCCCAACACCAAATCGTTATTTTTAACACCTCGACACGTGTTTCGATCACCAAGCGATCATCTTCAAAGAGGAAGATTAAAAAGTTTTAATCTTCAAAGAGGAAGATTAAAAAATTTTAATTTTCCAAATGATCATCTTCAAAGAGGAAGAATAAAAAGTTTTAATCTTCCTCTTTGAAGATGATCACTTGGTGATCGAAACACGTGTCGAGGTGTTAAAAATAAAGATTTGGTGTTGGGAAAAAACTCCAGTAATGTTCATTACTACACCAAAGGTTCCAAACAGTGCATCATAAGTAAATGATTTTTTATTTTTACATAGATTATATTTGTATGCGCATGTATTTTTTGAGCTCTATGGAAATTCATCACCATTTTATATTGTGACAAAATCATGTCATCAAAATCATCTCTTTCCTGTACACAAATTATATCAGATACCTCAGTTTTAGCTAACATCTAAATTTGATAATTTATTCGTCAGTGATTAAACATTCACGGTTAATAATTTTATTACTGATATATAGTTTAGGTTATTACGGTTTGGTAGGGGCTGTCTTTCTGTATTTTTTTCTTGAATTTGAAGTACTGTATTCCAGCTCCTTCTGGTCAGATCGCCGATATACCTTGTCCACAAATGTCATTGAGAAAAAGATCTTGAAAGACACATATCTGTCCGTTTTATTCCATTCCTCACAGTGGAAATCTATACCTGATGCTGTTGCCTTTAGTATGCTTTCCAGATCAGATGCACTGGAACTTGGATGAAATCCAATTGCGTGTAAATAATCTTGCTTGGGATTCACTTTGATTTGTGAGTTGACATTGCTCCGAATACGTCTCTGCATTTGAATATTTGATCAAACTGACCACATCAAACTGTTTGAGTCACTTCTACGGATTAATTGGGTTATGCAACCACTTGCTTTGTTGATGTCGATTTTTTCACCGGATGTATTGTTGTTCGACTTTTGCCTGATAGATGATTCTGGTGGTTTCATTTTGTAGTATTTGATTATTTCTTTCAAGAGAATCATTAAGTCTTCCTGTTCCTGGATTCGTTTCTCCAGGTGATGGGAAAGTTTCGTCTTCAAGTTTATTAATGGTAGATGGGCAACTTCTTTTTCGAATTGATTCGATACGAATTTTATGAGAATGTCACTATTTACAGTACCAGAAGAGAAGGAATTATTAAGTGCACATAGTTGTTGGTTCATAAATGGATCAAAAACATCTTCAGGTTCTGATGCAGATGTTTTCAATCGCAGACCCAGGACAGAGATAACAATCTGCCTAGGAACCTATACGTTTTGAGGGGAAATTTATGCTATTGTATTGTGTGCGGAGAGATTGGAAGAATCCAACCTCATACACAAGTCAATAAAAATATTCTTGGAAAGTCAAGCGGCGTTGGAAGCTCTTGGCTCCTAACGAACAATGTCCAAATTGGTAGCAAACTGCCAAAAACGACTCTCCTCGATATGAAAACTTAACAGATTGTCTCTGGTCTAGATTCCTGGCCATACTGGCCTGGAAGGCAATGAGGCTGCCTTTGCAAAAGAGGGTGCTAGCAACTTCACTGGACCAGAACTTGTCATTAGCATCGCTTCACGCTTTGCCAAACAAACATTGAACACCAGGATGACAAGAAGATTTATGGACTTCTGGCAGAATCTTCCAAGATTGGTTCACTCCAAGGCATTTATTTACCCTTCGGAGCTTGATACCAAACAGTTGTTGGACTACAGTAGGGATGAACTACGAAGTCTAACAGGCCTTCTCACAATTCTCTCTCAGTTCATCTGAATCATCATATGCAGAGACACAGACTGTCATAAGACAATGTGTCTCCTCTGTTTGGAGTACATACTTTGTGCCTGCCCCGTTGGGGACCGATTAAGGTTTTCAGAGTTTGGCAGAGCCGTAACCATCTGACCTGAAAAACCACTCAGCATACAAACTAATCAGCTTCCTTAAGAAGCTGGGTATATTTGGTCGAATAGACCCACTCACTTTTGACCTGACCTAACCTAATGGCTTGAAAACATCAGTGTCTAGAAATCCATTCGAATCAGAATTATGACAGGATCATTAATGAAAATTTTCAATTGAAAATTTTGACAATATTTAAAATTATATTCAGTTCAACAGCAGAAATACAAAGTCAGTTTTCCTGTGTTTCCACAGTTCAAAATTAGTTCTCAATGGATATTTATAGGTACCAAAGATTACCAAAAATAAATAATAATCAGTGTAAATTGAATGAACTTGACATCTCTTCTCAACTGATAAATTGTTCAAAATCAGAACCAGAATAAGAATATGCCTGTTTTTTGGGAAAGAAATTTTTTTGCTTTCTACTACTCCATCTTGACACAAAAAAAGTGGGAATCTTCCAAAGAAAGGAAGGAAGTAATCAATTTCAAAAGAAGTAACTCTATAGGTAGATGTGTACATCATTACTTCCTTTCTTTCTTTGGAAGATTCCCACATTTTTTGAATAAAGATGGAGTAGTAGAAAGCCAAAAACTTTTCTTTCCCAGAAATTAATCACGCCTGCTTAATGTAATAAGAAAATATTCATGTTGACAAAGACTGTATAACTAAAAAATTAATAATATATGTTATATAAAAGTTACAAAAATTTGAGCAGAGTATTAAAAACTGTTATTGAATGATGTAATATACCTACCTAATTGTTAAAAATTATAAGAAATTGTGATAAGACTCTCATGGCTATAATTAATGAGAGAAAAACAGAACATTTCAGACTGGCTTCAAGGCTTGATGTGGATTAGTTGAAACAGTAATAGATGGTTTTTAAAATAACATGACAAGCATTCAGGGATTGTTTGAACCAGAAAATAATAGAATCTGTAATACTAGTGGTACATCCTGAGAAAGTTGTTTTGAGATTTGATTATTAGAATATTCTACTGATTACTTTTTTGTCCTAACAATATGCAATGTCATAATTGAAAAACACAGAAAAATATACAGGTTAAGTAGGTAAGCAAATGAATCCAGGCAGTTAGTTTTTAATCATCTTCTTCCAATAATGGATTATTTGAATATTCAAGAAAACCCAAATACATTATCAGAATATAAATTAATGAGCATGTATATTCATTTGCAGAAAGAATATGGATCTTTCAATATTCTTTCAAAAATAAATTGATCAACAGAGTGAATCGCATAAAAGATCTTTTCTATAAGGAACTTTGTCACACAATAAATTTTTGTAGACTGCAAAAATATTCTTTTGGTGTGGTTAAAAATACAATTAATATCAATTACTAGTATTTAATATTTTGAATGTTGAATTGAGGATCAGTACGGATTATTTAACATACTAATAAGGGGAAAAAATGAAAGAACTTATGCAATCAAATACTCACATGAAATCTCAGAATATGTCCAGAGTTGTGATAATGCAAATGCATAATTTCATCACTAGGATCTCCCATATGGTATACAATATCACACTCAGGGCACTGGGTAACTCCAAATCTTTTCTGGCCAGCATCAAGGAGCATTTGAGTCGAACATAACTTTCGAAACTTTTTATCGGTGGAGGTAGATCCCTTATTGAGCTTTTTCTCAGGAACGCTGCTGGTAGTGCCACAAAAAATTGGAAACAATTCATTGTTTTTTGGAGGAACTGACATCTTAAAAATGTTCTGTGCGGCATTAGGCATTCTATTCAGAACGGATGTTAGGTTTTTAGCCATCTTAGGGCTACTCAAAGCTAAACCGGAGGTATCATCGCACATTTGAGATATGGGAGATAGGATAACACTTGCAGGGCACGGTGGCTGTTGATGGAGAAAAATTGAGTTATCTGAAGCTACTACGGAGCTGTGAGCTTGTAACGTTATTTTGTTATCAGATTTTGTAATAGTGGGACATTCTTCATCTTCAAGAGAACTAATGACACTTTCAATATCAGCCTTAATCAAGTCTGGCTCATCTGAAACTAAGTCGCTCAGATCATATTGATTTTCAACATCTTTGATCTTTGGTTTTTCTAACAGAGTGACCTTTCCATTACCAACTTCAAGTTTAATATTTTTATTCATTTTCACAACCCCTTTGGATCTCAAATGTTTAAAAAACTTTTTACTTGAATCTGGTTCTGGTTCAGGACTCATTGGCCGCTTTTTACTCTCCTCGGTAGGGGTATTTTTGGTTATTGTTGCACAAGTTATGAGCTTCTCCTGGGTAACTGTAGATGAAATCATCTGCTTCTGTTTGGAAAGAGTTGTAGACGGAATCACCTGATGTTGGATAACAGCTGGTTTTGCATTTTCTTTATTTGCTATAAGTGGAACTGAATCATTTTTGCATTTCATTTCTTTCAAGTCCATAATATAATCAGTAATGGACGAATTTCCTATTACACTCATGGCAGCTTTCAGAATTGTTTTTTTTGACTTTTTTTGTCTTGGTTTGCGAATTTTATGACCAACGCCAGCATTTATTTGTCCTATTCTTTTACGCGATTTCGTTTTGCGGCTTGTGTTGAAAAAAATGTGTGATTTTGGGCGATCTTCTTTCTTGGTCAATATTTTTTCCATTATATCTTCTGTTTTAGGATAAAATTGATTTGTTGAAAGAGAAATACTATCTTCAGGAAACAATGTTGTGCGTACTTTGGAATTTTTAGGATCTAATTTGATATGTTTAGTTTGCTTGGGAGAATTGTAGGGAGACAATTTTCTCTTATTGGAAGGAATTTCTGATGAATCTAAAAGAGATTTACGAACTAATTTTGGTAATTTAGTATTAGTATTGGAGGTGTCATGAGGGGTTTTTAACTTATAAGAGGGAGAAATTTTTGATGGAGTTTCATTTAGAACATTCTGTGAACTGTCTTTAATCTTTTTGATATGAGGACTTAAATATAAAGGAGACATAGTTTCCGAAGCAGAACATTTTACATTAGTAGGAGTACAAGCTCCATACTGTCCTATATCCACAACTCCTAATATATTGTAGTCACCAATAGTATCTGCTTTAAATAATAGATTATCTCCATTATTATGTTTTAGAATACAACATTGTAAGTCTTCAGGTCCAAAACAAGAATCAAAGCTAATGGGACTTATATGACCCAAATCAGAATCTGATTCTGAATCAGAGCTATCTGGTGGAAAGAGAGATCGCCTTCTATGAAATATGTGGGGAGTGCGTTCATGAATTGTGGTACTCTGTTCACTTCTCACAGCATTCATGGTGATGGTCCCACTGTAATAAAAAAAATGTTAAATTTACAATAGGCAATTTTCAGCTTTTTCCAAACTCCATCGCCTCTCAATGAATATATATTAATGAAGTGCCATGAATGGTAATTACTGTAGGGGTATACAAATATTCATGAACCCCTGGAAAGAACAAGAAAAAATGAGAAATTGTATAGCAATCATCATGCAATTGGGTACAGTGAAAAAAATAATTGAACTGTAAACTGTACCTACATTATATGATAACTTCTAACAGGATGAGGAGTAGAAATTATCACGTTTATCTCAAGTCAAATGGTTTCAGTCTCGACAAACGAATGTTTATATCCAATTGTTTATCACACATGTTTTCAGAACTATTAACGGTTGATTTGCCTCCTTTTTACCTGGCGCCAAATGTCAACAATTGACATCCCGGCCTTGGATACTGTATACAATTACAATAACTGCTTTTTAATCTTCATGAAATATTAAATGGCAACATCGAACGGCCGGAAGGTGGAAGACTAATACGTCTTCCATTGCTGAAATCAGTACACACTTATTGTAATGTGCAATAATATGTCTAGGAAAGGTATTCCATCAATACTTCATCCTTTCCATTTGTTCCTTTTTTTTCATTAAATTTCAAATCTCTTTTTTGACAAAAGAATTTAAAGAGGACTGAACATCTACCATTGAATAATCATAGTATTAAATTACGAACATTGCAAACTCAAGCGTGTACTTTACAAATACCTAGAAATTTCAAAATGTAAACCGGACAGCATTGGATTCATGAGTGAGATCACAAGCTTCGAATCGAATAGTGTTATGAATTATTTCACTCGCTTCTCTTTTCATTCTCTTTGTTATCGTCAATCGTCTAGCATTTGAATAATTAGCATTCAAATGACCCCTTTTGAGTATTCGAGATATCTTGAGTTATTGCAATAACCGAATAACAGAATAATTTTATTCGAATCATCCCATCACTACCACCACAGAATACCTTACCGATATGACACTTATCTAGCGGCACTTTGATGTTGAGGGATGAGGTTTCTGTCACCTATATTCTGTGTTGGGAGTGCTCAATATCATTTTCAGCGACAAATTGTAATTATTTGATACTCATCAGATATATAAGTAGCCAGGCGGTTCGACGTGGGTGCTTTGTTCACTCACTCGAATTTACTGCCGTGTCGGTCGGTGGTTCAAGTCCTAGTCTGAACGACCGATTTCCACTTGCTATCGTCCAACCCGTGTTAGGAATCACACGTTAAAAGGTAAAACCTCGTTAATCCTTAGCTCGCACAAGTTTCGACATTCGATGATTGTCGTTGGTAAAGGTGCGACAGGTAGTTAACGGAAAAACAGATTTTTAAACAGATTTTTTTTATTGCAGTCGAGGAATTATTATGTCATCTCGATGGATTATTAGACTAAAATTTCAACCGAACTAGCTTACTCTTACCAAGTTCACTAACCACTTGACGGAATTTTTAGGTCTACAGTAATCACTTCGAGATTCTCAAGAAGTTTATGGTTTCCGGTTCCTTGTCGAGAGTCCCTTCTGTAAGGTATTCTGTGCTAACCTCATTTAGTTTCACCAACTGGCCGGATAGCCCTGTTGCTGAGGCCATGAATGAAAAAAAGAAGTCAGTTAGTTTTGACTTTTGAATGAGTATTCTGTGTTTGAGTATTCATTAATTCATTTAATTGATTGTTTGATTTGATAACTGATAAAGTAAGGTGTCTTTAAAGTGGTCATCAGTGATACAATATATAGCAGACGTCTGCTATACGTGAATCGAAACAGAAAAATCGTTCATTTCTTCAGTGACGAGAAATCTGAAGTAAGTTGTAATAACATATCCTTACAAAGCTTCATTCAAAACAAATAAACACAAACAATAGTTACTTGGTTATTTCCATTCCATTTTGGATGAAATTCGAAAGATCTTCAATATATCTTCATAAAATAGGTTAACCTAATAATATATTTCATTTCCAATAATACTTCATTTCAGAAATGGGTGACCGTTATAATATTCACAGCCAGTTGGAGCATTTACAGTCTAAATACATAGGTACTGGTCATTCAGACACTACAAAATATGAATGGTTGGTAAATCAGCATCGAGATAGCTTCTCAAGTTATCTGGGACATCCTGACCTCATCAACTTCATAGGTATCTGCGAGAATGAATCAAAGGCCAGAGTCAAATTCAACCTCATGGAAAAAATGTTGCAGCCCTGTGGTCCTCCACCAGACAAACCTGAAGATTAATTATTATGATTGAGTAATGGTACCATAAATTCAAGATTATGTGATTATTTGATTCACTTTTTATCAGTGACATATTAATATATCTATGATTTTTATAATTTAAAGGTCTCAATAAAGTTGTTTGTGGTGTGTATACTGAAACACATTAATAGCAGGTTTATGCAACACACCCATTACTAAGAACTGAGAGTTCAGCCATAACAAATCGAGGCGAGAGTTTATGGAAACTTGAAATATGCCCAGAAAGTTGACCAGCATGTAACTAATACTTGAAGCTCAGGTTAAAATCAAAATGACCATGCACTAAATTGAAATGTTTCCAATTGTTTCAAATTAGTATCTATTTTAATAATTGGAAAACTGAATGAAAACATGTTGGATTTCTTTCGTTAACGTAGTGAAACTTCAAATGAAGTATAATCGTGCTTATGTTAACATGTGCATAAGCCGTACAATATTCTTAGGTATAGTCTCAGTTCCTAATCATTAGGAATCAAACCTCAGGAAATCGTCGATGCTCTTGCGAATTATTTTAAAAGTATACATCATATCGGATATCTCCCTGTGTGGTATGCTAGATAACTTTCCAAGCTATTTTCCGGGTATAAATATCGAACATATTAATGATATTATTACCAGAGAATTCAAGAATATTAATACGAATATAACACTGTTCAATGCCTATGTGAGGTCTAAACTAGAATACGGCGTCTTAATATGGTATCCAATTTACAATTGCCACATACATCATATTGATGCTGTTAAAAAAAGATTTTTAAAATATCTGCCTTTCAAGGTCACAGGATTATATCCTCAGAGGGGAACCGACTATTCTATCCTTCTGAATCAATTTAATGTAATATCTCTGAATACACGACGACTTTTTGTCACAATCTCCTTTCTTCACAAACTACTAAACAATAAGATCTCTTGTGTCCCTCTTTTACAAATGATCAACTTCCGCACCCCACGCCTCAATTCCAGATATCAAGACATTTTACTGTGATCTTGTTAGAATAAATAACAGTTTGAAAGCACTAGTGTCAATACTTTGTAACAACTATAATTCAATATGTGATATGTGCGATATTAATCACAGTTCTCAAAGTTTTATTTTAAAATGTATTCTCGCTAGAACCTTTTAACTGCGATCACTTTTTCTTTTCGATTCTTGTGATATATTTCTATTTCTACTTATTTTGCTTTTAGTTGTAGCAATCTTTTTTTTAACTAATTATTACTGTTTTGCATATATTTTCATCAACACCTTTGTATATTTCCTGTAATTGGGTGAATGCCTGTTGGTAATAAAGTGCTATCAATCAATCACTTAGGTTTAATTCTCAGGTATAAGTGTATAAACCCATATAAATAATCGTTCAGTTTGCAACAGACGCAGTATGAACATCTTTGTTATGGAGGGTTTTCCACAATCGTTAATTTATTTATTTCATACATATAGCCTATAGATAAGTATAGTGAATTTTTTATATCTGAAATATCAATGTACTTGTTAAACACAGTACTTCATATAACCATTTCATGTACTGAACTAGATTTATGACAAAAATATTTGTTGATAATTAGTAAGTATAATTTTGAGGATTTATTCTATTGAATTTGTTCAAATGATTGGAAAATTTGAAAAAACGAATTAGGAATGGCACAGTCTTCATCACAGCTTTATTAATTCATATTTCACAATCTCTTCCTCAACACATAACATTAAAACGAGTAGTTTTCATCTCCATGCGTCTGTAACCACAAAGTTTGAGGATAATTTTTCCTCAACCCTGATAATACCATTTGTGCGTTACCCTGCTTATTCACATTCAGTTCATTTCTTTGTGTCAAGCGATCAACAAGTAAACTGTAGGTATGTAGTGTAATTATTGCTAACATGCCGAAAAACCTATTTTGTTTGACTTTTCTTGGCAGACCATCAGAGAATCAATGAATAGCTAATCCTGGCTAGTATGCGAGGCACCTGAATAATAGCATTCAAGGTGGACACAACAATTTACTTTTAGGGTCAGAAGACTCATACATGAAGAGTTGTGATTCAGAGCATATCAATGAGTCAAAAAATCCCTTTGTCAATACTCAAACTCACTCTGAGGGAGTAATATTAGGGAATAATATGAAAACCTTACTTGGGAGTGAATCGGGGTTATCCACTAGTATATGGGAGGCAATCCTAAAAAAAGGGGTCAGATAAGGACACTCGCAAAACCTTGCTATAATTTAAATCTAGTGTCTCAGAGTGGTCCATCAATAAGTAGAATACCTTTATTTGTAAGGTTCAAAACTACATTGGAACAATCTTTACGTTTGAAATTTGAAAAGTATAAGTTGCACTAAAATTGCCGGATTTTGGCACATAAATCGACTTAAATTTAGTGAACAAAACAGTTACAAATTTGAAGGTATTGACCATTTAGATACTGAAGAAAACTGCATTTAATTTCTGGTAATTGAAACACATTCCAACAAAAAAGGATAATAAAAAATCAGTTATAAAAGTAAGAGATAATGTTCTTCTAATCTATAATAAAGAAGTCAACGATCCTACCACAAAATAATCCAGTAAACAGTGAATAATTTGTAAATTGTCTGTAAATTCGGACAAAAGTAAAATAATAAATTATATCTGATGAGGAACCATGTGAGAAATGTAAGTCCATAATAGAAATTACTGAATCTACAATTATATGCAATAGTTGCTCTGCTATTTGCTATGAAAATGCTCACAGCTGATTCCCTCAGAAGTTAGGACAGTTGTGTTAAGAAAACGTACTTTTATGTAAGATTGATGACTTGTTAATTTTGTGGTAATTCATAATCACTTTAATGAAATGAATAAAAACCCTTAAGTCTAATTATAGATTTATTCGCCGAAATAGGGTGGATTTGGACATTGATAAAGTTATATCTTAGATATTAATCTGTATTATCAGTATCCATGTTCTCTCCACCAGTATAAATAAAATTAATTAGTGGTAATTAGTCGAAAGTGTTTTTATTCATTTCATTAAAGTGAAAACGTACTTTACTGTATTTTTTGCACTTCTTGTAAGGAAAACTTCAAGAAGGTTCCTAGGATTATCGAAAAGCTAAATGAAGTATTAGAAATCAACAAAAGTTCATTGGAAGAAAACACAAAATTGCTAGAAATCATAGCGAAACAAAATGAAAACAAGAATGATAATAACATGAATGAAATATCAGGAAATCAAAGAAAGGGAAATAGAGAAGCATGCATAATAATATGCAACATCTAGGAATCCAGAGAGAATAACCATTTGGTAAGGGCAAAGAGTGATACTGAAAACATAAAAAAAATCTTGGCAGACTCACTGATCAAGTAACCATAAAAAATACATTTCGGCTTGGAAAATACACCCCTGATAGAAATAGACCATTGAAAATTGTACTGAAGAACCATGAAGAAGCTATCTATATTTTACCAAATTGAAGAAACAAATATTCCTGGTAAAATAATCTTTTTGTACAACTGTCATTAAAAGTGACATTTTTAATGGTTGTCAAGAGTAATAATAGTATATTATATACCTAGGGTGAGAAGTGAGCTATTATTTATCGAGCATTTTTATATCCTGAGGCGCATAGCCCCGAGGGATATAACGTGCGAGGTAAATAATAGCTTTCTCATCCGAGGTATATATAGAATTGTTTTCACTACTAACATTGATATATTAACAATTTTAATTTTGGCATTAGTAATTTTCTAACAATTTGTTAAATATATCGCAATATCAAGTAGAGTGGAGCGTGTTTCTAATCAGGCTGGCTTTATTTATGTAAAAATTTGGCATGTGTCAAATTTTGATATGAATCTAGGAAATATCTCATTGCATTTTTGATATATTTCAATGTTCCACTTCTCTCATCGCTTCTGTATGTTCAGAACTTAGAATTTCTCAATTCTGCATTATAGTGAGAAAAAAATTTCCTTGGTTATGATAGCCCAAGGCAGCTATGAATTGTTGCATGTAAAATTGAAACGGTACAGTTTCCATGTTGAATACGCGATGTCGATGATACGCGCGCAACATCTACTTAGGCCATGAAAACGTTTGCCGGCGTTTCCATGACAACCAAACACTGTACAAAGATTATTATTGTTGTCAGTTTGCCAAATGCGGTTTTAATTTAAATTTAGATGTCATTTTGAAGAAGTTAAAAGATCTATATAAGTGAAACGTCAATATAATTAATTGAAAAAAGGGTGAAAATTGAAGTGACGATGATTTAGAGATGATGTGTACCCCGCCTGAAGTTAGAGTGGTGGCAGCCAGTACAAGTAGTGATTTATTGCCAGAAAAATCAAAGAGACTGTACATGAATGCATATAACCAACTGAAAACATGGTGTGAAGAAAGGAAAGTTACTAAAGTAACAGAAAATGTTTTATTAGCGTATTTCAAAGAGAATTCTGAAGGCAAAAAGGTATCGGCATTAAGGGCAAATTATTCCATGCAAAAATCAACACTTCCAATAAAAGAAAATATTGACATTTCAAAGTTTTTCAAGCTTGTAGCATTTTTAAACCGAAAAAACAGTAATTATAAACCTAAGAAATCAAGAGTATTTACAAAGGAAGAAATTGACAAATTTATAGTTGAAGCTCCGGTTGACGAATATTTATCAAAAAAGGTATACTTTCTTATTATTAGATTGTGTTAAATTTTTTAATGGAATGATATTTAGGCTCTTATGGTAATTGGTGTTGCCGGTGCCTGCAGAACAGATGAATTATGCAATATGCTCCTAGACGATTTAGATATTTGCGATGATATTATTATAATAAATATTCTCAATTCAATGAACAGAACATTAAGAAAGTTTGTTGTTGTTGAGCTACAATGGGTTAATGTTATTAAAAAATACTTAGCTAATAGATAGGCCAACTGACATTAAAAAACTATTTATTTTATACCGTAAAGGTAAACATATTAAACAAAATATTGGGCACAATACTATTAGTAAAGTACCATATGTCGTGGCTAATTATCTCAAATTGGAAAATCCTGAGTGTTATACTGGTCATTCTCTAAGACGTAGCTCCGCCACACTTCTTGCAGAAAACGGAGGAGACTTACTAAGCCTGAAACGGCACGTTTTGTGGAAGTCGGCTGCAGTGGCTGAAGGAGATATTGAGGAATCAATAGCTGATAAGAAGAGAATCGCCGAATTAGTACAAACATGTAATTTACCTAATGAAGCTTCAAATATAACTTCTTTTGCAAGTCAAGATGCTGTCTTAGAAAACGTCCATCTTGAAGATAATTTAGTGGAAAAATGTAATGAATGCCTTCAAAATACGAGGATTGTTTGTAACACAGAAGTGAATTTATCTGGTCCAAATGTTAGTTACAGAAAATGTTGGAATACACATGATTTGTCACAATTGTACAATTAATTATAATTTCAAATAATTTTCAAGCGTATTTCCAATGTCCAATTTCCTACTTCTGGTTGATAATTAAGTTAACCAAAGGTTTCTGTGAATATCTTTAAAATTATAGAATTGTTCTCATTATTTACCTACGTGTTTTTTTATTATCATTATTTACCAAGAGTGAGAAATATTAATTCTCGTTAGAGAAATGGAGTAAATAATAGCAATTTCTCAGGTTAGTAGTGAAAAAAATGTTTTCTTCGTTGCAGTAGATTTATTCGCCGAAATAGGGTGGATTTGGACATTGATAAAGTTATATCTTAGATATTAATCTGTATTATCAGTATCCATGTTCTCTCCACCACTATTGATTACAGTTTTCGTGTAACCACCTCTGAAAAACCAACCACTCTAAAATCTTCAATGACACTATTCCACTTCAGATACACCGAATATACAAGGTACACATTGAATAAGTTGAATAAATCACACCACGATATCTCACTTGGTTCCAATAATTCATACAACTGAAATATAAAGAAATATTGTCAAAGGAGAGCAAAAAATCAATAGGCACGGTACTACTAAATATCATTTAAATATTTTTCATCATTTTCAATATAAAAGCAAGTTTTTTCACAGTACATAGAATTTTCTCGCCTTTTCATAATCCTTAGCTGTATTTACATGAGATCACTAAAAAATAAGTAGCCTGAAGTGCAGATAATATCGGAATTAATATGAATATCACAACACTGCATTATCAGAATGCAAATTCAAAATTCATGTAAGTTAAAATAAAGAGCGATTGTCAAATCACAGGATATTGGAGTTTACAACAGTTCTTGTGATTTCAAAGTAAATTGATTGCGATTTCAATATGTGAATTCACATAGTGGCCCGGTGAAAACACAAAAAGGGTGTACTTACAATGCGATTCACAACATAACCGATTGACTGTAATTTTTCATTGTAATATTGCTTCTTAAGTAGAATCTCGCAAAACATATTTGTTCTTTTACCTTCATGTATTGAGAATTCTCCAGGGTAACATGGAATCTCACATAATTGATATCAACGTGCTTGTAAAAATCTGGAATTATACATTATATAACTCATCTGAAGCTGACGCCGATTTTTTGCAAAAACACATTTTTCTCTAAAACTCGACCAACATATTTTGTCGAACTCACCGAATGCAACTCAAAACTCCCATCAGAACTGCTCTGAGATTCCTGTCTGTCATTTGAAATGTTGGTTTTTCGAATTTCGCATAAATAAATTAAAAAGTTTTGATTTTTCGATAAAAGTCCAATGATATATTCTGTATAACTCGCCGAGTGCTACTCATAACTTCCATCAGAACTGTTCTGAAATTCATTTCTGTCATTATTCGAAATGTTGGTTTTAAGAATGTCTCACCTTATGATGGCCAATAAATTGAAGTTTCGATTTTTTTATAAAAGTCGATTGACATATTTTATAGAACTTGCCGATTGCTACTCAGAACTCTCATCAGAACTGAAATATCTCTTGATTTTTTTTCCAAAATCATGATTTTCATAAGTCAAAAATTGATTTTCTTTCCCAATACCTTTTTTATTTCGGCAGAACTATATTCAAAAATGGTCAAGAACTCCAGAACTATTCCATCTTCATCGAAAAATACCACCAAAACTTGGTTTTTCGAAAAAGTTGGCACCGTATGAAGTAAGCGCCACTAATTTTTTTTCTTATTGAAATATACAGTTTGCTGAAACTATTCAATATTTATATCAGGAATTCCAGAACTCTATCAAATCTACCCAGAATTCCAAAAAATGTGTATTTGCACAAAGTCGGCGCCAGCTTCACATGAATCGTATATATTGGTAACATGGGTTCCAAGACTTTTATTTTTCCAAGACCGTCCTGGAACTATACAAAAGTCTTGGAGAACTAGCCATTAGTTAGCAGGAAAAGTCTTGTCTACAGTGTCATATACAGTGTCACCATTAAAGTCACCATTTTCGAAAAGTTTCAATGAAGTTTAACTTCGGCACTTCTTTGTGCTTTAAATTTAACTTAATGATGCGGCCAACTGCGACCCAGTGTTTGTCAAATTCAACTTTTTTTTTGAAAAAAATTGAAAAAGTGTATTTCTAGATCGAATTCAACAAAAAGTTACTTGAAAAAGTTGTGTCTACGGCAATTTTATATCCATTTGCCAAATTTTATGCAACTAGGATAAAGTTTACGTTTTGCTTATTTTTGACAGATATCCCCTTTATTTTAAAAAACAAGTTCGGTTAATTGTCATCAATTCATGTATACATAACAAACTCATCATGGAGTTTAACTTTTCTGATACATTTTTACTTATACGGACATTTTTAGAGAGAAATTAAAAATTTGCTATATAAATTTTAACATGACTGGGGCAAAGTTTCAATCACTTGGCTATTTTCTTAAACAAACCTTTTATTTCGAAAAAGCATAGGCAACTAAAAAAATGCAAATAATTTCGATAGAACTGTTATTATTATTAAAAATTTTAAACAACAATAATATAGAAAATACAAAGGGGTACAAAAAATTACTTATTGATCTAAATGAGGTTGTCAAACACTTATAGCCTACATTTCAGTATGTCGTCCTACACGTTCAATACAAATTATGGTCCTTCTACTGACATCTGTAACTGCATTTTTAATAAATCGGGGATTTATATTTGCACAGCACTCGCGAATGGTATTTTCCAGATGTTGTATGTCAGTAAATGGTCTACTTCGGTACACTTTTTGTTTCAGGTAACCC